CCTGCTCCTCCTCCTCCTGCTTCTGTTCCTCCTCTTCCTGCTCCTCCTCCTCCTGCTCCTCCTCCTCTTCCTTCTCCCATCCTCTTCCTCCTCCCTCCTCTACTTCCTCCTTTCCCTCTCTCTCTCTCTCTCCCCCCCACTCTCTCCTCCCCAGGATTTATGCATGGCTCCTGGCCCCACCATATTGGACCATGCAAACACAGCACATACCCATCACTACAGAATGCCCCACTAGGCAGCCCCTTGAACACCCCCTTTCCTTCCCAGGGTTGGGACCTCTGGGTCTCTCCCCTCAGGCCCCCCTCATGGTGAACCAAGGGTCCTTGACACCCCCCCCACTTTCCCTGATTCTTCCCCAACCACTTCCTCTTTCCTTTCACAAAGAGACTTCATCTCAGACTCTCACACCTGGACCTCCAAGTCCACCTTGGCACTCAGAACCCGTCCTCCTTAGAAAGCAGAGAGGGTCTTAGACGGCAACATGGAAACCTCTGTGTGCGGTATCTCTGTGCAGAGATGCCCAGTTTCTAGAACCTTCTGAGATCTCCGCAGATGGAAGACCTTCTCTAGGATCTCACACCCCTGAGCAGAGGAGCTGGTGGATGGGTGCCCCTTGCACGTCACGGGGTTCCCATCATGCAAACACCCCTAAAGGCTGGGAGGAGAGAGCCCTCCCGTGGGGGGGTGCTGACACAGGGGTCTCCCCAGGTGCAAGCCGTGAGGTTGATCGCCGAGGGCAGAGCCCCCAGACTCCCTCAGCCTGAGGAAGGAGCCTCCTACGAAGGCATTCAGAAGAAAGAAACAGCCAGGGTAGGTTTCTGGGTCGTCCTCGCCCCAAGTCTGCAGGTGCATGGTCTGCAGGCCAGGCTCCATGGGGGGACACCAGCTGGGGGTGGGGGGACATGTCCCCTTGATGCTGGCAGTCTCCCTAGTGAGGCCTGAGAGATACTCAGTTCCCTGGAGCCACACCCCATGGGAAGGACTTCGGGGGTCTGTGGGCCGTACCTCTGCCTGGGGACTGTGCAGAGCTGGACAGAGGGCCACGTGGGCCCCCAGGCGAGGAGAAGCTGTGGACTGGACTCTCCGGGGGTGCTCTGGCCTCCTTGGTGGGCCTCCGCCATCTTGGCAAACTGGGCGCCTCCGGAAGCCATCTTGCATGGCTCAGTCCACCTCTGTGAGGGACTGAGGGTCAGGAAACCAGAACTCTTCACCCAGGGCTTGCTCAGGGTCCAGCCATCATGGGGCAGGAAGGGCGCTGCAGAGAGACCAGCAGCGCATGCACGTCCTGCCCCCCCCCCCCCACAGATCAACTGGGACCAGCCAGCTGAGGCCATTCACAACTGGATCCGTGGGAATGACAAGGTGCCCGGTGCCTGGACAGAGGCTGGTGGACAGGTGTGTTTGCGTGGGACTGGAACTTGCCTGGATGCCCCCGTGTGCCCCGTGGACTGCGAAACCTGCCCAGTGCATTGATCAGCCCAATGCATGGTCCACAGCACCCACCCTGACCACCCCACCCCAATGCCCCTGACCTCTTGTCTCCTCCCTGGAACTGAGAGACCTGTCCACCCCCCCAGGAGCTAAAAGGGAGGTCTCCGGCATCTCCCAGAGGCCTCCGGGCACCTACCACCAGTATGTTGTCCATTTGTGCTGGGTATAAAATTTTGGCTTCCACTCCTGGGGCCACCTCAGATCCCAGCTCTGACTTCAACATGGCCCTGGACACAGGTGGGACACTTCCTCTGGTTGAGGGACCAGGCAGGGGCAAGCCAGATGCTGAAGTTGGGGTTCCTGGGCTCTAGACTCACCAGGACAGCAAGACCATGTGTTTCGGGGTCTTTGTCCAAACTCTTGGTCCACACAGCCCCCACTGTCCACACCCCTGAGCCCCAGCCAAGTGCCCAGACATGTCCAGGAGGCTCTCTGCCTCTGGCACTGAGATGGAACCCTGTGTCCTGGCAAATGCATCTCCTTTCTCAAGTGACCAGTGCTTGGTGGCATCTTTGGGGCTACTGGCCTCACCTCTGAGCACATTTCCCTTGGCTTCTGTGCACTAGAGTCTGAGGTCAGCCACTGGTCAGTGGCCAGGACTCTTCTCATTCACCTGCTTCTGGATTTTTCTCCCCTGACAGACATTGACCTTTTTCAACTCAACATTGAACACCTCCGGCTTGGTCCCTGAGGGGGAAGTTTTGGCCATCCCCGGAGCCCATCGGCCAGGCCTGGTCACCAAGGCGGGACTCATTCTCTTTGGGAATGATGACAGAATGGTAATGGCACTTGCCCACGCTGGAGGCCCCAGACCCACTCCCCCCTCGGCTCTATGTTCCCAATGTTTGGGCTCAGATCAGATCCACGGGAACACCTCAAGTTGGGCAGGTTGTCTACTGCACAAGGCTCTGGCAAAGACAGGGAGAAATGAGACTCAGGAGGGAGAATCCATACTAGTCCCTGGCCTGGGGCGTGACCCTGAGTATAAGCCACCCAAAGTGGGGCCCTTGTTTTATTATTATTATTATTATTATTATTATTATTATTATTATTATTGGTACTGGGAGTTGAACCCATGAGCGCTTAACTCCTGAGCCCCAGCCCCAGCCCCTTTTATATTTTATTCAGGTCTCGCTGAATTGCTCAGGGCCTCGCTTAAATTGCTGAGGCTGGCCTCCAACTTGAGATCCTCCTGCCTCAGCCTCCTGAGCGGCTGGGATGATAGGTGTGTGCCCTATCTTTTGTAGCTGCTGGTGAAGAACATCCAGCTGGAGGATGGTAAGATGATCCCGGCCTCGCAGTTCTTCAAAGCAGAAGCCAGCAGTGCTCTGGAGCTGACGGAGGCAGAGCTGGTCACTGCCGAGGCTGTGCGGGTAAGAGACACCTTCTGGGGTGCTGGCCGGTTGGGCAGGTTGTCTACTGCACAAGTGTTTGGTGAGTCCCTTTTCCTGTGTACCGGCCTCAGGGGCAGTGTTGGTGCTCTCTGATCTTGGAACTCTCTGAAGTCTCTCTGCTGCTCCTTCCTTTGCAATGGGGGCCCTGGGATTTGGCCAGCTGGGCCTCTGATGCTCCAAGAGACTCACTATGTCACAGCCCCAGGAGGTGGTCACCCCAGGCCACCAGGCCCCTCTGGATGGGACAGCGCCTTGGAGAGGATAGCCGGGCTCTCAGGCACATCCAGGGCCGGCTGGTCCCAGGGCCACCAGGGCCACCTACCTCCTCACACCGCCTTTGTGTTCTCAGAGTGCTTGGAAACGGATCCTCCCCAGCGTCTCAGAGGTGGACGATTCCACGGATTTCTTCAAGTCGGGGGCCGCATCGGTGGATGTGGTGAGGTAAGGGGGGGCCTGTCCAGGACCTGTAGACCCTGTGGGTTCTGAGGAACCAGACCCAAGAAGCAGCCATGGCCCATGCCTGTCATCCCAGTGGCTTGGGAGGCTGAGGCAGGAGGATCGCAAGTTGGAGGCCAGCCTCAACAATTTAGTGAGGCCCTCAGCAAGTCAGTGAGACCCTGTGTCTCAAGAAAACACAAAATAGGGCTGGGGATGGGGCTCCGTGGTTGAGTGCCCCCGAGTTCAATCCCGGTACCACCCCCCCGCAAGAAAAATGGGAAATACAGTAAAATTTATGGATCTTAGGTGGTCAGTTTGGCAGGCCTTGATTTAATGTGTGTAAGTTTTAATCAGAGGCATGGGGTACATTGTCCCCTGCCCCAACCCACAGGCAGTCTGTCACCTTAGATTCGTCTACCTGTCCTTCAACCACAGAGGAAGGATCCCACTTACTACCCAGCGGTGGTAAATTCTGATCTGTGTGGAGGGAAGGTGAAGGAGGTATTAGTCTACCTTTGTTTGCAAAAAGGAGTCCACACTGTAGGACTGCCAACCCCCTCTGGGGAGCAGGGCGGAGATTCCTCAAAGAACTTGAAATGGAACCACCATCAGACCTAGTTATCCCACTCCTGGGTTTTATTCCCAAAGGACTTGGCACATTACAGTGACACAGTCACATCAGTGTTTATAGCAGCTCCACTCACCACAGCTAAGCTAGGGAACCAACCCAGGTGCCCTTCAACACATGGGTGGATAAAGAAACCGTGGTACACGTACACCGTGGAATATTACTCAGCCCTAAAGAAGAATGAGATGATGGCATTTGCTGGTAAATGGATGGAGCTGGAGACTATCGTGCTAAGTGAAATAAGCCAGGCGGAATGCTCTCTCTGACATGTGGATGCTGCGTTACTTTATCATTTTTATGTGTAGTAAACAAAGATCTGGCTGAATTCTTGTGCATGGGGACATCCAATTTTTCCAACACCATTTGCTGAAAACGTTATCAGTTTCTCTTTGCATATCTTGGGGTTCCTGCCAAAAGATCGGTGGATCCCGATGCCAGTAGGTTTATTCCTGGGCTCTGGGTTGTGCTCATTGGCTGAGGATGGCTGCTTTGATTCCTACTTGATTATTTTAGTTTGGTAGTGAACTTTTCAATCAGAAAGGTTGAGTTCTCCGACTTGGTGCTTTTTCAAGTTTTTTTTTTTTTTTTTTTTTATGATTTGGATGGCTCACGTCCTCTTGAGATGGCCTGGGAGTTTTGCGGATGGCCCATGAGTTTGCAACCAAGGCCTGTTGGGTCTGCCGCAGCCTGGGCCCTGGGCCTAGGTCCTGAGCTGCTGACCACTACAGGGTGCTGGGACCCAGGCCAGATCAGGGGAGGTGCATTTAGACTTGCAGTCCCCGGATGCATGGGGCTCCTGATCCTGGGCCCCCGTTTCTCCACCCCCCGCACCTTGCTGCAGGCTGGTGGAGGAGGTGAGGGAGCTGTGTGACGGGTTGGAGCTGGAGAACGAGGATGTGTACATGGCAACCGCCTTTGGGGACTTCATCCAGCTGCTAGTCAGGAAGTTGCGCGGGGAGGACGACGAGGGTGACAGTGACATCGACTATGTGAGTCGGGCCCCTGGGTGTTCAGGAAGCCAGGAGCCCAGCTTTCACTTTCCCAAGCTCTGCCTGGCACCTAGGGGTGTCAGAGCCAAAGGGCAAACTCAACTGGATCTTGCTGTCAGATGCTCAGTGGGAGGGTCACATCGGGTCCCCCAAGGCGTGAGACCAGGATGAGTCCCCAACAGGGACAAGTTCATCCTGTAGATTCAGCACCGATCGGGGGAACTGCCCTCTCTTGAAGGAATGGGCTTTGGGGGTAGTTTGTTTGGCTGGTGATTTGAAACAAAAGCTGGGGAAGAAGAGCCAGGTGGCCAGGGTGGACCCCAGGTTGCCCGAGGAAGAGCGAATAAATGACAGATTGCAGGAGGGGGAAGGGGTCCCAGGGATTCCCTTGTTCCCCATGGAATTTTGGATGCGCACAGAAGTGGGTGGCAGGGTGCTGGGTGGCACGTGTCCCCTGGTTTAAAGGGCCTCGCCACCCGTGACACTCCCGACCCGCTGCGAATCCCCCTATGCCCTTGGAGGAGGTTGGATCAGCAGGTCGAGGTCACCCAGGGAGGAAGGGGCAGAGCAGGGACTGCAGCCCACGCAGTCTCCCTGGGAATCGGTGCTCCTCACGCCTCCTTGTCACTCGGCTGTCACCCACCCCAGGTGGAAAAATCATTGAACAAGCTGGAGCTCCGCATGCCCCACCAGCTCTTCATCGGGGGGACGTTCGTGGATGCCGAGGGAGGCCAGACCTATGACACCATCAACCCCACGGACGGCAGCGTGAGCTTGGTCTTCCCTGCTCCCTGACTCCTCCTCCCTGCCCCAGCTGACCTCTGGCCCCGCCCAAACTCACTTCTCCTCTGGCCCCACCCACCGCTACTCTGGCCCCACCCCAGCTGATCTCTGGCCCCGCCCAAACTCACCTCCAGTCCCGCCCACCTCCTCTAGCCCTGCCTCAACTGACCTCTGGTCCCACCCCGCCTCTCCTCTGGCCTTGCCCCAATTGACCTCTGGCCCCCCTCTTCTCTGGCCCCGCCCCAACTCTCCTCTGGCCCTGCCCCACCTCTTCTCTGGCCCCGCCCCACCTCTCCTCTGGCCCCTCCTCTTCTCTGGCCCCGCCCCTCCTCTTCTCTGGCCCCGCCCCACCTCTCCTCTGGCCCCTCCTCTTCTCTAGACCCGCCTCCCCTCTGGCCCTGCCTCCCCTCTGGCCCCTCCTCTCCTCTGGCCCCACCTCCCCTCTGGCCCCACCCCACCCCTCCTCTGGCCCCGCCCCAACTGACCTCTGGCCCCACCCCACCTCTCCTCTGGCCCCTCCTCTCTGGCCCCGCTCCACCTCTCTTCTTGCACTCCTCTCCTCTGGCCCCTTCCTTCCTCTCCTCTGGCTCCTCCTCTTCTATGGCCCCGCCCCACCTCTCCTCTGGCTCCTCCTCTTCTATGGCCCCGCCCCACCTCTCCTCTGGCCCCTCCCTCCTCTGGCCCCGCCCCTTCTCTGGCCCCGCCCCCACCTCCCCTCTGGTGGTGCTGGCCACGGAGCCTCTGCTCTGGCTTCCATCTTGGCAAAGGACAAGCAAGGATCCCACTTAGACTCCAGCCTGAACTGCTGGAAGGGAAGACGGTGGGGAGATAAAGATAGGAGGTGGCAGGGCTCCTCAGGGACTTGAGCCTGCTTCAGAGACCAAGGACAGAATTCAAAGTCCCCAAGGGTCCAGGTAGGGTGGCTCATGCCTGTCATCCCAGTGGCTCGGGGAGGCTGAGGCAAGAGGATCACAAGTTGGAGGCCAGCCTCAGCCACTTAGCGAGGCCCTAAGCAACCAGTGAGACCCTGTCTCCAAATAAAATGTGAAAAGGGCTGGGGACGGGGCTCAGGGGTTAAGAATCCCTAGGACCAAAATAGAAAACATAAAACAGTCAAGGCAGGGACAGGGGACAGAGGAAGTAGCTGGCAAAGGGGCCTCCAATGTCCCCTGTGGTCCGCTTCAGAAATTCTTCCGGGCTGGACTTGGAACGACTGGGTCTCGGCTCTTGCTGTGGACGCTCAGCTCCCTTCAGCCTCACCGCTGTGGGTGACTCTCTGGCCCCTGGGTGAGACGTGACCTCTGGGAGTAGCAACAGGCTTTCCAGAACCTTCTATTCATGCAGACATCTTGCAGGCCCACWTTGGCCTAGCGGGCGTCCTGCTTCATGGTGGTGTCTGGGCATCGTGCTCCCGGGGAGGACTCACACTCTGTTCCCCCCACAGGTCATCTGCCAGGTGTCCCTGGCCCAGGTCAGCGACGTGGATAAGGCAGTGGCCGCGGCCAAGGATGCCTTTGAGAACGGGCGGTGGGGGAAGATCAGCGCGCGGGACCGTGGCCGGCTCCTGTACAGGTGAGCGTCCAGCCGCCCCTCCAGCTTGGGGGCTGAGGCGGGTCCTCCTACCCAGGCCTCCGTTCCTGGGATCCTGGGCCCTGGGGAGGTCATGGGACCGAAGCGGTCAGACTGACCCTGCTGGGTGTGCCCAGCCTGAGTCTCAGAAAAGACTCCTTGGAGCCKGGCACAGTGGCCATGCCTGTCATCCCAGGGGCTTGGGGAGGCTGAGGCAGGAGGATCGCAGTGTGGATGGATAGCCTGGGGCTAGCAGGTCAGGTGTGCTCCAGGCGAAGTCCCCAGAACCCTTGGAGACTCCATGGTTGTAAGGAGGCACTGGCGAGTGACAGATGCCCCCCCCCCCAGAGCTGGGATCAGGCAGAACTGTGAGCCCTGGACACCCTTGGGAGCCTTGGGAGCCTCCTGAGTGCCAGCAGTGGGCACTGCCATTGGGAGGGTCCTTCCCACGACGCTCTGCTGCCATCTGGTGGCCGGTGTCTTAATAACAACCCCCAGTGACTGAAGAGGCTCTGCTGCCATCTGGTGGCCGGTGTCATAATAACACCCCCCAGTGACACAGGCAGGTCCAAGTGGAGACCGTGTAGGGGAGGGGACAGACATCTGTCACTAGTTTCCTAGTGACCCGTTTCTGCTCTGTGCACATTCCCAGTTGCCTCAAAGGGGACATGTCCCTGGATGCCCCCTGAAGCTCAGCGAGAGAGAGAAGGTGGGAGGTGATGTCTTAGGAGGGGAGGGGAAGGACCTTCCAGAGAAGGGACTGTCCCCTGGTTCAGTGCATGGCTCCCAAGGCAGCGGGGCTGACTTCCCCAACGCACGGTGCAGACATACAGAGAGGGGAGGACAAGGCCAGGTTGGTGGCCGGGGGCATCCGTGCAGGGCCCAGATCTCCCCTTACCTTTGGCCAGACTGGCAGACCTCATGGAGCAACACCAGGAAGAGCTAGCCACCATCGAGGCCCTGGACGCCGGCGCCGTGTACACACTGGCCCTGAAGACCCACGTGGGCATGTCTATACAGACCTTCCGCTACTTCGCTGGTTGGTGTGACAAGATCCAGGTGGGTCACCTTGGAGCATAGGAACGGGTGGTTCCTTGGCCGGGCGGCTGCGGAACAAGCCGCAGCCCATGGCTGGGAACAACCCTGCAGATTAGCTCCAGGTTCTGAGAATTCCAGGTGGGCTGGGCTGCACCAGGGTCCCAAACATGTATTAGTCATAAAACCAGCGTCCTGTAGTGACGTGGCCACGTTAGTGTCTGTAGCAGCTCAATACACAATAGCCAAGCTTTCCAACCTAAGTGCCCTTCAACAGATGGATGGATAAAGCAAATGTGGTACATGTACACAATGGAATATGACTCAGCCTTGAAGAAGGATGAAATGATGGCATTTGCTGGTAACTGGATGGAGCTGGGGACGATCGTGCTAAGTGAAATAAGCCAGTCCCTCCCCCCCCAAAAAAAAAAAACAAAGGTCAAATGCTATCTCTGATATTCAGATGCTGATCCACAATAGGGTGAGGAAGAATAGCAGTTCATTGGATGAGAAGCAGGGAGTGAAGGGAAGGGAGGGGAGGGGAGTGGGAAAGACAGTGGAATGAATGGGATGTCACTTTCCCATGTTCACATAGGAACACACAACCAGGGACACTCCACACTAGGTCCCACCAGGTCCAGTGGGAAGTCACACCCCATGTAGGGATGATATGGCAGAATGCATACTGCTGTCATGGAGAGCTAAGAAGAAAAATAAATTTTTTAAAAAATATGTATCAGTCAGCTCTCGGTACTATAAGAAGTGCCTGCAACAATCAACTTATTAAGAGAAAAGGTTGGTCTGGGCTCAGTTTTGGAAGTTCCAGCCCATGCTCAGCTGGTGCCTTTGTTGTGGGCTGAGGCAGCGCATCATGGCTGGAGAACGTGGTGGACAGCACCGCTCATCTCTCAGCGACCAAGAAGTACAAAGAGAATAAGGAGGAAACCAGGGGTCTGCAGTCACCTTTAAAGACCCACCTGATGGCCTAACGACCTCTGAAAGGCCCAGCCTCCTAAAGGTCACTTCCTGGTGGCCACGAGACCAAGCCTTTGACATGTGGGACTTTGAGGGACATTTCAGTTCCAGTGTGTAGGGCTGGGGGTGTAGCCTGGGGACAGAGCCTTGGCCTAGCCTGTGTCAAGCCCTGAGTCCCATCCCCAAGACCTCTGATAAAGCTCCACCTGGAGTGCACCCCTGTCTCCCCAGTCTCTCAGGAGGCTGAAGCAGGAGGATCACAAGTTGGAGGCCAACCTGAGAGATTTAGAGAGCCCCTGACTCAAAAAGTGAACAAGAGAAACTAAGGGTGTCATTCAGGGGTAGAGTGTCCCTCTGGAGTTGATTCTCAGTGACACCTAGAAAAGACAGGAGGAGAAGGAGGAAGAGGGGGAGGAGGAGGGAGGAGAAGGGAA